CTGTAGTGCCAACTAGCAACTCATCAGGAGTCTGAGGTGGGAGGATCACTTGGGCCTGCGAGGTCGAGGCTGCAGGGAGCCATGATTCTGCCTCTGCATCCCACCTGGGCAATAGAGCATGGCCCCCACTCTAAAAACAAATGCAATTGTGGACAAGCAAGGGCTACATTGGGTGAGGCAGGACCAGTGAGAGTGTTGTGTAGTTTCAAGAGAGATGGCCAGGCCGGGTGAGGTGGCTCACACCTGTGATCCCAACACTTTGGTGGCTGAGGCAGGCAGATCTCCTGAGACCAGGAGTTAGAGACCAGCCTGGCCAACATGGCGAAACCCTATCTCTACTAAAAATACAAAATTAGCCAGGCATGGTGGCACAGGCCTGTAATCCCAGCTACTCAGGAGTCTGAGGCAGGAGAATCGCTGGAACATCGGAGGCAGAGGTTGCAGTGAGCCGAGATTGTACCATTGCACTCCAGCCTGGGCAACAAGAGAGAAACTCCGTCTCAAATAAAAAAAAGAGAGAGAAAGAGATAGCCGGCCTGCTGGCCGCAGGCCAAGGGGCTGGCAGGGGAGAGGGGACACAGCAGGAGAGGAGGGGGACCTCAGGCACAGAGCCAGTGTGAGGCAGGGCCCTGGACAGCTGTCCCAGGACCACGATCTTAAAGTCAGCAGAGACACCCAGGACGGATTCCCTCCTAGAGAAGGGCAGAGACCCGAACCCAAACACAGGCTATTTTCGGAGCTGTGTTGTCTGGAGAGCAACCAAGCCAGAAATAGTGCTGTGAGCAAGACCCCGCGTTCGCCCACCCCCGGCTCTCCCAGTGAAATCACCAGGAATCGGGAGGCTGGGTGTCACATTCCAGGGAGCCTGTGTAACAGGCAGCAGCGCTCTCTTCCCCACCGGAAGGGCTCGGGAGCTGAGCATTTGACTGTAAAAGGGATTCTGGGATCCTAGAGGGAAAGAGGGAATGAGTCAGAGACAGCAGAAAAGAGGGAGAGTGGAAATGGGGGCAGCCTCCTGCAGCCGAGGAGAGGGGACGCTGGGGAAGAGAGGGTAGGCAAAAGGTCAGAGAGAAGGGAGTAGAAATGGGAGGCTCAGAGGGAGAAAGGGAAAGTGAAAAAGAGAGAGTGGAGAAAGCAGAAGCAAAGAGGAAGAACAGAGATCGGGCCAGAGGGCAGGAGGTCGGGGGTGATGGGTGGCGGGAAGGCCAGAGTCCACCCAGGGCCCACCAGTGGGTGGGGGGTGGAGGGACAGTCATGGAAAATCTGAGTGTGGTCTACAGTCACGAACCACCTGCTCGGGGCAGATGGACACATCTTTCCCAGTAGGCTAGAGCCAGAACTTTCCCCTGAAATTCACGTCCCCGTAACTCACTCTCTTATCTCTGACCCTCCGGAAGCTGGAGATCTGGCTATTTCAACAGCACGGACTTTTCTCTCTGCACCCGTGTGACCCCTTACAAAAGAGCCTAAGCTGGAAAGAGAGGATTGGATAAAGAAAGAGAGGACTTGGGGTCCGGGGAAAAAGGGAAAAGTGATAACCCCTTGAGTCAGATTCTGAGAAGGGGGTTTCTCTGGGAGGTCGGATGGGGAGCAGCCCTCGGGCAGCTGGACCCTGGTATGGAAGGGCTCGGCTCCTGAGGCAGGCAAGAGAAGGCAGGGCCATGTGCGTGAAGTAGAGGCAGGGATCACGGCCAAAGCTGGGTTTTTTTTGTTTTTTTTTTTTTGAGTCGGAGTTTCGCTCTTGTTACCCAGGCTGGAGTGCAATGGCGCGATCTTGGCTCACCGCAACCTCCGCCTCCTGGGTTCAGGCAATTTTCCTGCCTCAGCCTCCTGAGAAGCTGGGATCATAGGTACACAACACCATGCCTGGCTAATTTTTGTATTTTCAGTAGAGATGTGGTTTCACCGTATTGGCCGGGCTGGTCTTGAACTCTTGACCTCAAGTGATCTACCCGCCTTGGCCTCCCAAAGTGCTAGGATTACAGGTGAGAGCCACCATGGCCCAGCCTTGGGGATACTTTGGAGGACAAGAGATAAGTCTGGGACTAGGCATGGTGGCTTATACACTTTGGGAGGCAAAGGTGGGAGGATTGTTTGAACCCAGGAGTTTGAGACCAGCTTGGTCAACACAGCAAGACTCTGTCTCTATAAGAGCAAATAATAATTCACTGGGTGTGGTGGCGCTAGCCTGCAGTCCCCGATACTTGCTTGAGCCCAGGAGTTCAACTCTGCAGTGAGCTATGATCACGCCACTGCACTCCAGCCTTGGTGACAGAATGAGACCCTATCTCAAAAAAAAAAAAAAAAAAGAAATGGGTTTGGGGCTTGACTTGTCTTCATCTAAGAGGTCAGGGCGGTTGCTTCTTCCTCACCGCTAACCACACTCTCAGGGACTCCAAACCACAACTAAGGAAAGGAAAAAGACATAAACAAGAGGCAGTTTCACAGGAAGAGTTCTGATGCGTCTGTGAGCCCAACTTTCCGAGGAGCGTCTGCGCTGTCCCTGCCACTTGTGAGAAAACAAGGCCTAAGGCAGAATGAAAAGCAGGAGGGCTACTCAGCTGTGGTTGCCCTTGGTATCTGTTTACTGACAAAATCCAAAACAAACATCCCCACGCTTCCACCCACTGAAACTTCCTATGACTCTGTTATCTGCTGTCTCCATGGATTCTCCTAATTAAGCCCCACCACCTACACAAAACCCGACAGTGGGTGGACCCCAAGTATCCATGTCTCCGATACAAGACTCCCTCTTGGCAACACGCTGGCCACCCTTCCGTCCACACGGCCAAGGGCACCTGACCCTGTCAAAATCCCGAATTCGGCCAGGCGTGGTGGCTCACACCTGTAATCCCAGCACTTTGTGAGGCCTAGGTGGGCAGATCACAAAGCCAGGAGATCATGATCATCCTCGCTAACACAGTGAAACCCCACCTCTACTAAAATCACAAAAAAAAATTAGCCAGGCATGGTGGTAGGCACCTGTAGTCCCAGCTACTCAGGAGGCTGAGGCAGGAGAATCGCTTGAACCTGAGAGGCAGAGGTTGCAGTGAGCGGAGATCAAGCCACTGCACTCCAGCATGGGCGACAGAGAGAGACTCCGTCTCAAAAACAAACAAACAAACAAAACTCAAATCTACTAGTCTGTCTACATGCTCAGTTTCCACCCTCTACAGCAGGGGTCCCCGACCTCTGGGCCAGGGTCCAGTCCACGGCCTGTTAGGAACCAGGCTGCATAGCAGGAGGTGGGCAGCAGGTAAGTGAAACTTCATCTGTATCGACAGCCATTGCTATTGTTATTATTATTTTGAGACAGAGTTTTGCTCTGTTGCCCAGGCTGGAGTGCAGTGGCATGATCTTGGCTCACTGCAACCCCCGCCTCCCAGGTACCAGTGATTCACCTGCCTCAGCCTCCCGAGTAGCTGGGACTACAGGTATGCACCACCACACTCGGCTAATGTTTTGTATTTTTAGTAGAGATGGAGTTTCTCCATGTTGGTGAGGCTAGTCTCGAACTCCCAAACTCAGGTGATCCGCCTGCCTCAGCCTCCCAAAGTTCTGGGATTACAGGCGAGAGCCATCGTGCCATGCTACAGCTCCCCATCGCTCACACGACCGCATGAGCTCTGCCTCTGGTCAGATCAGCAGCGGCATTAGATTCTCATAGGAGCACAAATCGTACCATCAACTGTGAATTCACGGGATCCAGGCTGCCGGCTCCTATGAGAATCTAGGGCCTGATGATGTGTCACTGTCTCCCATCACCCCCAGAGGGGACCGTCTAGCTCAGGAACACAAGCTAAGGGCTCCAGCTGATTCTACGTGATGGTGAGTTGTGGAATTATTTATATTATACACTACAATGTCATAATAATAGAAATAAAGTGCACAATAAATGTAATGTGCTTGAATCATCCTGAAACCATCCCACCCTGGTCTGTGAAAAAATTGCCTTCTGTGAAACCAGTCCCTAGTGCCAAAAACGTGGAGGACCATTGCTCTACAGAGTCTATCAGTCACTCTTCCTCCCCTCACCCCCCAGCCCTAAAAGCACACCCTGCAAACCCGCCATGAGTTGACACTCTGCTTCTATCCCTCTTCCCCACGTGTCTATGTCTGGAGGAGGAAGATAAAGGACAAGCTGCCCCCAAGTCCCAGCGGGCAGCTCCAAGAAATGAAACTTACACGTTGGTCTCCTGTTTCTTTACCAAGCCTTTACCATGGTAACCCCTGGTCCCTTTCAGCCACCACTGCCCCGCCCAGCACACCTCAAACTCCAGCCAGACAAGGTTGTTGACACAAGAGAGCCCTCGAGGGCACGGGGAGAGTCTGGACACGTGTGGGAGTCAGCCATGTATCATCGGAGGTGGCCGGGCACATGGCGGGGATGAGGGAAAGACCAAGAGTCCTCTGTTGGGCCCAAGTGCTAGACAGACAAAACCTAGACAATCACGTGGCTGGTTGCATGCCCGTGGCTGCCGGGCTGGGTCCAGGAGGAGGGAGGGGTGCTCTTTCCTGGAGTTGTCCCAGGGCGTGGGGTAGACGGTCTTGGTAGAAAAACACCCAGCTTTCAATGGAGGTTATCTTTGATAACTCCACGGTGACCTGGTTCTCCAAAGGAAAGCCAGACAACATGAGCTGCTTTTTCTCCAAACTGAAGGCTAGAGTCCTGGGCTTTTTGGGTTATCTGGCACGGCAGACGGTCAACCTGGCAGGACATCCGGGAGAGACCGACACAGGCAGAGGGCAGAAAGCTCAAGGGAGATCCCCAGGCCAAGGCTATCGGGGTTTGCTCAGCCGTTCCTGAACTCTCTTACACACGTACACACACAGAGTGGCACGCACACACACACACACACACATGCCTCAGCAAGTCCCGGAGAGGGAGGTGTCGAGGGGGCCTGGCTCGCTGTTCAGACGGACTCCCAGAGCCAGCGAGTGGGTGGGGCTGGAACATGAGTTCATCTGTTTCCTGCCCACATCTGGTATAAAAGGAGGCAGAGGCTCACAGAGGAGCACAGCTGTGTCTGGCTGCAGGGCCAAGAGCGCTGTCAAGAAGTGCCACACGCCCCCCTCCAGCCGCTGAATTCCTGCAGCTCAGCAGCCACAGCGGAGCAGAACGAACCACCAATCGCAAGGCACCTCTGAGAACTTCAGGTAGGAGAAAAGCAAACTCCCTCCAACCTCTTACTTTGGGCTTAAGGCAGAGGACTCACCTCCCCAGAATCCCCTCCCTCCACGATCCCCCACTATTCCTCTATTTTCTTTTTCTTTTTGAGACGGAGTCTCGCTTTGTCACCCAGGCTGGAGTGCAGTGGCACGATCTTGACTCACTACAGCCTCCGCCTCCTGGGTTCAAGCGATTCTCCTGCCTCAGTCTCCCGAGTAGCTGAGACTACAGATGTGTGCCACCATGCCTGGCCAGCTTTTGTATTTTCAGCAGAGACAGGGTTTCACCATGCCAGGCTGGTTTCAAACTCTTGACCTTGTGATCCACCCATCTAGGCCTCTCAAAGTTCTGGGATTACAGGGACGAGCCACCGCACCCGGCCAATTCCTCTATTTTCTTTTCCTTAGCCTTGAGCCGACCCTGCCCTAGGGGTGAGTGCAGGAGAGCAGGGAGGATGGTCAGGTCCCGACAACAACCCCATCACCCAGAAACAAGAACCTTGACTCCCTCGGTCCCTCTGCCTCAAGACCTCCCCCATTTCCCACCTCACGCCTGCTAACGAATCAATCGCTGGGAAAGCATTATAAGAGAATTAAGTCCAGGCGCTGTGGCTCATGCCTGTAATCACAGGACTCTGCAAGGCTGAGGCAGGCAGATCTCTTGAGCCCAGGAGTCTGAGACCAGCCAACATGGCAAAACCCTGTCTCTCCCCAAAAAATACAAAAATTAACTGGGTGTGCTGGTATGCCTGTATCCCCAGCTACTTGGGAGGCTGAGGTGGGAGGACTGCTTGAGCCAGGGAGGTGGAGGTTGCAGTGAACCAATATTGAGCCACTGAATTCCAGCGTGGGTGACAAAACAAGACCCTATCTCAAAAAGTAAAAGAAAGAAAGACAGAAAGAGAGAGAGGAAAGGCAAGGAAGAGAAAAAGAAAGAAAGAAAGACAGATAGAAAGAAAGATAGAAAGAAAGAGAGAGAGAGAGAAAGAAAAAGAGATAAAAAGAGAAAGAGATAAAGCGAGAGAAAGAGAAAAAGAGAAAGAGAGAAACAGTAAAGAAAAAGAAAGAGGGAAGAAAGAATGAAAGAAAAGGAAAGAAAATTTAAAAGCTCATGCAAATCAAAGATGTTGTGATCATTGATAATTGAGCCTGAGCTAAACTCCCCCGGGCTGCAAGGGCAGAGCGTGGTAGTGACCTCTCACCTGCCTTTTTCTGAGGCTTTTTTACGGGACACAGAGGGAAGCCAAATGGACTGGATTCCAAGATTCCCACAGGGCAAGACGGGAGAAGCCTCCCTGCGGCTGCCCGAGGGCGAGTCCATCTGAGTGAGACAGAGCTGGAAGGTCCCAGAATCTGAACATGGCCTCTTCCTGCATGCTGCCCTGCTGTTCACCTATCACCCACTTGCAGCAAACATGAAGAGCCGAGTCCAGAGCTAGGGCACCAGCTTGCCTCCCCTTCCCCCTGTCTTCCAGAGCGACTCCTTCACCAGCCCTCTTCCCTTGTTCCAGGATGCAGATGTCTCCAGCTCTTACCTGCCTGTTCCTGGGCCTGGCCCTCGTCTTTGGTGAAGGGTCCACCGTGCCCCATCCCACATCCCACGTGGCCCACCTGGCCTCAGACTTCGGGGTGAGGGTGTTTCAGCAGGTGGTGCAGGCCTCCAAGGACCGCAACGTGGTTTTCTCACCCTATGGGGTGGCCTCGGTGTTGGCCATGCTGCAGTCGACCACGGGAGGAGAAACGCGGAGGCAGATCCAAGCGGCCATGGGATTCAAGATTGATGGTGAGTGACAGGACATGGGGGCGGGGAGAGGCATGCAGTCCCCACAGGATGGACCAGCCAGAAGCCGAGGAAAGGCTAGCTCTTGCCTAGCTGAGCCAAGCGCCGTACAGCTGTGCTACAGGGTCTCCCCATCTTCCCACCATACTCTAAGTCACTGGACCCTTAAACTGCTAAGGGTGTCTGGTCAGTGGATTCACCACTTATTCACCACTGCGTGATCTTAACCTCGTTAAGCCTCAGTTTGCCCATCTACAAAATGGGGATTATAAAAAATACCTACCACAGTGCCAGTCATGGTGGCTCATGCCTGTAATCCCAGCACTTTGGGAGGCCGAGGTGGGTGGATCACCTGAGGTCAGGAGTTCGAGACCAGCCTGACCAACATGGTAAAACCCCGTCTCTACTAAAAAAAGAAATAATAAAAAAGTCAGCCAGGCCTTGTGGCGCACGCCTATAATCCCAGCAACTTGGGAGGCTGAGGCTGGAGAATCACTTGAACCCGGGAGGCAAAGGTTGCAGTGAGCTAAAATGGCACCTCCAGCCTGGGTGACAGAGCGAGACTCCATCTCAAAACAAAAACAAAAACAAAGACCTCCCATATAGGACTGCCCTAAAGAATTCATGGAATTACACTTGTGAAATGCTTAGCATAGCCAGTACTATAAAAAAAAAATCTAAGGCCAGGCACAGTGCCTCATGCCTGTAATCTCAGCACTTTGAGAGGTTGAGGCAGGAGGATCACTTGAGGCCAGGAGTTCAAGGCCAGCTTGGGAAATACGGTGAAACCCTGTCTTTACTGAAAATATAAAAATTAGACCGGTGCAGTGGTGCACACCTGTCATCCCAGCTACTCGGTAAGCTGAGGCACAAGAATTGCCTGAACCCGGGAGGTGGAGTTTGCAGTGAGCTGAGATTGCACCACTGCACTCCAGCTGGGGGACAGTGAGACTGTCTCACAAAAGAAAAAAGAAAAAGAAAAGAAAAGAAAAAATAAGGCCGGGCGCGGTGGCTCACGCCTGTAATCCCAGCACTTTGGGAGGCCGAGGCGGGTGGATCACGAGGTCAAGAGATCGAGACCATCCTGGTCAACACGGTGAAACCTCGTCTCT